TTGTCATACTGGTGTGGTGGGTGGGCACTAGTTGCTGTGTCCTGGCTCGTATTCTGGTCTTCTGCAAGCTCAGAGTGTTTTACTGGGCACTGAGAGCAAAGTGTCTTGTAGAAAGTTGAGTGGAAATAAGAACCTTGTTTCTATTACGTGTTTTATTGGCCAGTTGGTAAAAGAATTTATTCCTAATTTTTTTTCTTGTTTCAGGCACAAATGAATCGCAATTCATCTAGTAAGTGTGAATCTTTGGTTTTTATTCTATGTTAGTTTTTTAACATAGCATGAATATAGTTTGGTTTTCTTAACGTTTGAAGAAATAAACTTAAGCATCAGTGTTCTAAACAGAAAAAATATTTCTCTTGTCAGTTCTAGATACCTCATCTTTTTCTGTATACTCAACTGTTCCCTATTCTGGGCAGCAGATGAGGCTGTCTGAAAAGAATAAGAAACGCATCCACCAGCCAAAGGGGGGGAAATCACGTGAAAAAGATTCCTGTGCAAGTTCTTAAAACCTGTCCAGCCGCTCAAGTTTAGTGTGATCCACAAACCATCAAAGTACACTCTCTTTGTTTTATAGTCAAACCCATAAAATGGGGCCAAGGAGATAGAGGACAGAGCATTCGGAACACCACTTCCTCCCAAAATGCATTGCTCTGTGTATTCCTCTCTTGCTAGAAGGTATTTCAGGAGCGTATGAATTTATATTATCAGAAAGAATGCATTTTCTCGTTTCCTTTTTTAGTAGTTCATAATTAGTTTTGAACTGCAACCATTAATATTTACTATCTTTTTATAGTGAAGCTGAATTTTTTTATTTTGGAGTGTCACAGTTTTAGTTATAATATTGTGTCTTTTGCTTAGGTGAAGAGTTAACAAAATCAAAGCTTTCTGCTCCCACTAATGAGTAAGTTGAAATTTAAAATGCTATCAAATTAAATTTTACAGGAATTTGGTCTTATTTTGATCTAATACTCAAACTTGTTGGAAATCTAAGCTGACTGCTATTTTAAGTTGGGCATCTATTACGTCATAAGAGTAAAAGAGTAATTATGTAACAAGGGAGATTTGTATTATTTTTTTTTCTCCTTCAAATGCATGTGCTTCATTGTGATATGTTTCAATAGGTATAATTGCATGATTACAAAATATTGTTTTTTTTCATTAAAATATCAGATTTTAAATAAGACAGGTTTTGTTTATATCCTGTAGTGTTTGATGGTAAAGTATTTTAAGATTACATACCCCAGATTTGAACAGGTTTATATACATCGCTGTATACACATCTGTATATATTGAAATAATTATCATATCATTATATTTATTATGTCATGAAACTACTACTGAAGTTGTAGTTTGATTTTTATGAGTATATACACCTTCCATTTATATTCTAACTGCAATTCTTGTTACAGAAAAGGGAACAGTGATCTCCTGGCATGGGATCCACTCTTCAGCAGTTCTCTAGAGTCTTCCTCTTCAGCTTCATTGGCATCCTCATCTTCCTCAGGTAAAATATTTGATAGTGGAGAATATTTTCTGTATATACTTCAGGATATTTTCATGTTGCTGTTTTAGTTATTGCAAAGGGATTTGCTTTGACTATTGAAATTAAAGAATTTTGTAAAGCAGTGTACTATCATGTAAGTAGGAAACAACTGAGGGTGAGGTAAGTCAGGCTTTCAAGCTAGGGTGCAAGGGGGAAGAGGGAACACTAGAAACCTTAGGAGAATTCTATCTTGCTTTTCTGCCTGTTTTGTCACCTTCTCTCACTTTAAAAATAAAAAAAGAGCACCCTCTAGAATATAATCCTGTTTTTTTCAGCTGGAGAATAAATGGAAGTTGTTGCAGCAACTGTAAGAAAAGCTGATTTTGCACTGTGAACAGGGATGGGTTTCTTCTTTCTAGGGAAGTCCTCTGGGCTATGTAGTACTAAGGCATCACACAGCTTTCCTGTGAGGAACTTGTTCCCTGTAGGAAGCCATGATTTTGTTAGGAGACCTGCAGGCATAATCCAAGAGAAGCCAGGTGAAACTGGCAGAACCAAGACTAGAATTCAGACAGAGTTCCTAGAACCACCTAGAGCAGAGGTATTTGGAGGAAAAGGGTGGGCTCTGGATTAGTTGCATGGGAATTTTGGGGTGCAGGATTCTGGAGGACTTTCATTTGAGCTAAGACACTGGGCATAGCAGGCTTTCCTGAAACCTCATCTCTGTGGGAAAAATAAATAGTGTTCATTGTTACATTCAAAAAGTGGTGAAGGAGAAGGAGGCAAAATAATGTGTGAGTGGGTATGTGTGTTGAAGAGGCTAAGGGCAAATGTTGAGAAACTATTTCAGACAAAGGAAGGAGAGACCGAAACAAAAATAGACATTACGGCTATGTTAGGACCTGCTTACTGTAAGTATTTACTTAAATTGTTATTTATGTTTATCATCTTGGGGGATTTAAGTCAGAATCTACTGTTCACAAACAGTAGCAGATACAGTTTCCATCATTCTTTTCAGTTTACCTACTATATATCTGTTTTCTTACCTCTGATGTCTTAGTGTAGAGACTTTTCCTCTCACGTGCCTGAGAAAGGAAATGTCCACTGTTTCTTTTAGCTAGGTATTCCTATTCAAAAAATTATAATAGACCTCACTTATTTGTTCATCATCATGGGATTTTATTTTTTCCTTTGTGCTTTTTTATATAGATTGAAGAACAGTAAGGAAGAGTACATGTATCAGTTGGGGAATTCTGCACAACTAGTGTTTTTCTTGGCCTCAGTAATGTCCTTTTAGCAAGAACCAGCATTGCTATGTAACTCTTCACGTTTAAAGTGGAACTTACTCTTTCACTACAAATTTATGTTCCTTAAAATTTACGTTTTTTAAGAAATCTAGCTTGAAGAAATTAATTACTCACTTAAGTAATCAGTCAAGATTATTGACTAGTGAATCCAAATTGTGATGTATTTAAGGATAAATTATATATAGTTATATATTACTGAAATGTGCAGAAAAGAAGTAGTGCTTTCCCAAAAAGCACTACTGAAAAAAAACCTTTTCCAGTTTGAAGCCATTACCCCTTGTCCTATCACTACAAGCCCTTATAAAAAGTCCCTCCCCAGCTTTCTTGTAGTCCCCCTTCAGGTACTGGAAGGCCACAATAGGGTCTCCCTGGAGCCTCCTCTTCTCCAGGCTGAACAACCCCAGAAATCTCAGCCTGTCCTCATAGGAGAGGTGTTCTAGCCCTCTGATCATCTTTGTGTCCCTCCTTTAGACCCATTCCAACATGACCATGTCTTTTTCTTGTGTGAGGGCTCCAGAGATGGACCCAGTACTCCAGGTGAGGTCTCACAAAAGTGGAGTAGAGGTGGAGAATCACCTCCCTCGACCTGCTGGCCACATTTCTTTTGATGCAGCCCAGGATACAGCTGGCTTTCTGGGCTGCAGTCACAGTGCACCATTTTTGGCTCGTGTTGAGGTTTTTATCAGCCAGCACCCCCAGTTTTCTCCTCAGGACTGCTCTCAATCCATACTCCAGCCAGCCTGTATGTGTGCTAGAGATTGCCCCAACCCAGGTGCGGGACCTTGCACTTGGCCTTGTTGAATTTCTTGAGGTTGGCATGGCCCCATCTCTCAAGCCTGTCAAGGTCCCTCTGGATGGCCTCCCTTCCCTCCAGCATGTTGACCACACCACACAGCTTGGTGCCATTGGCACACTTGCTGAGCACGCACTGGATTTCACTGTCCATGTCCCTGACAAAGATGTTAACAGAACTGGTCCCAGTACTGATCCTTGAGGAACACCACTCATCACTGGTTTCCACTTGGACATCGAGCTGTTGACAGCAACTCTCTGAGTGCAGCTCTCCAGCCAATTCCTTATCCACCAAGTGGTCCATCTGTCAAATCCTTCCCTCTCCAGTTTAGAGACCAGGATATCATGTGGCACAGTGTTGAATGCTTTGCACGAGTCCAAGTATATTGACAACAGTTGCTTGTGTTCTGGGAGTTAACCAAGGTATTTACACTCGTGAAATGATCCTTGGAGTTAAGCAGAAAGTGAGTGTTCTGAAGTGCAGCTACTTGCAAATACAAATTACTAAACATTTGCAGAAAAAAATACTGGATCGATGTAGGTTATATTGTTGTTTAAATCAGATTCTGACACTCAACAACTTACAGCTTAGTTATAAAGACTTTTAAAAATACAGAACTTTGATCTGATTGTATTTTCCTTAAAATCAGTGTTTTATCTTCAACTTGAAGGTTAATATAGGTAAGCTGATGCTTAAAGCTTTTGAAAAGCTCAATCCAAAACATAGGTTAGATAAATTAGTTGTTTTGTAAACAGTATGTCTGCATATCGTCCAACGGATTAGTTTTTTCTTTTTACTGTTAAAACTTCTCATTGTATATTGTTTTGTAACTCTGTGTTAATCATTGAACACTTAAACTACCATGGTATTTGAGCAGACAGTGATTTATGCAGAACAGAAGTAAACTTTGGTCATCCATGAATAATTCTGCTTCACTAGAAGTTTAAGCTAACTTTGTTATCTTGAACAAACACAACAGACATTTTTTAGCAATCTATTGATATTGTAAAAATGTTTCTTTTTTTTTTTATCTTCCTCATTTTCATACATATGTATTTTTAAAACCGCTTTGAGCATTTCCGCATTGCTTTTTTAATAGGATTTATAGTGATATTTTTAAAGACTTTGAATTATATTTAAAATTTCTGTGAGAAAGGGAAAGATGTGTTAAATCTCTGTTTATGGGGACTTAAAGTATGTACTGGTTCATGACAAAGGGACCACTGCAGGGAGGACAGCTATACTTTTGATCTGAACTTGTAAACGGGCTGCTCTCTCCTTGATTCCGTATGTCACTCTGCTGTAGCTCCTAGCTTTGCCAATCTGCAAGATGTTGAGAACTGACTAACTTCACATTTTCTGCTTCTGTTGTCATCTACTGCAAAAGGCAACAGCCAAGTGCAGGGAATACTTGTGGAAAATTCCTGATTTTCAGCAGCCTGAAGGATGAAGAGGGGAAATTAACTGGGGTGTTTGATGCCTAATACATATAGTTACTCACTAGAAACATGTTGATACAGACAGAAAAATACCAAACAGCATCTCATGGCTGTATTGTCATAATTCATTCACCAGGCAGCAATTTATGTTTGGCCTTCCCATTACAAATATTAAGGATAGAAGTGATAAAAATGTTTGGAAGGAACAGGACGGCATAATTTGATTAAGTAACTTTGAAAGAAATTAAAAGCAGAAAGCTATGGAGAGGAAATAAATTGAGTAGGACACAAGAAGGAAAAGACAAAGATGAAAAGAAGTTAAAACATGACAGGAAAAAAGTTGGAGGAATAAGGAGAATAATGAGAAGTAAGGCCTTAGGTGGAGAAAAACACAATAAATTACTTCTTGGCTTACTTAAAAAATGGAAAATGACGTGGTTGGCCGTATGAATGAAGTACATGTGATACGTGGCTGGGTTGTTTTCCTTTTATTTGTGAGTGGTGGGATTTTTAGCATAGGAGAACAGTTCTTTTTCATGCTGGATAGTAATCCTCATGCAGTGGATATTGAATACTTTTCTGAATATTGAAATTTTTTATCTTTTCAGTGTTGGTCCTAGTTTCAATTCTTTCCTTTTCCTTCAGCTACACTAAAAGAGCACAATAGGAGCGCCTCCTCATCTGCCACTGATTTGCCTGGTTGTACAGTCTGGTCTTTACTTGAACACCAGACAGATTCTGGGTCTGCGAGCCCATCCTCATCAGACTTTACCATTAGCACTTTGTGCAAATCTGGTGTTACAGCAGCACCATCAGGGAGTACCAGTAATTCATCCTGTGTGTCACGGTCGCAGAGTCCGTGGATTTCCTTTGCTGATGAACATCTTACAATTAAACACAAAAGCACAGACAAGAAGCCCCAAAAATTGCATTCTAAAACTGAAAATGCCTGCCTTGCCTCTTCTGCTTTGCTTGGGAATTCTTCCAACAGCTGTGCTTCTGAGGATCAAAGTGACCTTTTCTATAATACTATATGCCATGAACAATTATTCATTGAGGAATCTGGCACTGCTGCTGCAATTTCTTCTGCATCATCTTCAGCACTACTGGACTATAGTTTAGTGTCTTCTTGTGCTCATACAAATAAGGGTATGGCAAGCATGCGCTGTGTACCGCTCTTTGCTAATAACTGACTCCAAAAAGCAAGCTTTGGACTCATTTTTATTTTTATTATCGCTTACCTGATGTTAAAATTAACTCCTTACTTAGAGTGTACTAAACAGCTTGCTAGCACTGACTTCGTTGAAAGTTAAGACAATTAATTAAATATTCAGCTTGAAATCAGAAGAAAAAAATCAAATTATTCTATTAAAGGCATTGCTTTCTCTTAACTATGCAGAGCTTCTTTGCTTTTCTAGACATAGGAATGTATTTTTGTGGGATGTCAGACAGCAGTGATATCTCAAAAATGAAGTGATTGAATTTGGAAAAAAAAAATCCATTCCGTAGTGGCTTTGCATAGATATTTTCAAATTAAACAAAGTTAAATAAATTGGATTTAAAACTGTTCCTTTTTAACACTCAGTATTTTGAAACATGGATGATACCACAACAATGGGATATCATAAGAGGACAAAGGAAAAGTGCATTTGGGCACTGCAGCAGACCACTCAGTGCTTAGCATGCACTGTTGTCTTGGGGCATAATAAGCATTTTAAAGGAATGAGTGATATATTGGAAGTTGTTTTATCTGGGGACATTTGAGTTTGGAACTCTTAAGGTGGATGTGGTCAGTATTAAACTTAAGTTCTTTCTTCCCGAATTGATGATGAAACTCCCGAATGCCTGAGAAAACTGCATACTTAAAAAGTTGTCTATCTAATAACATCAACTATTTTAATGAATCCAGCCAGAATAATTTAAGGTAGATAATAGGATGTGCTGCAACAACATAGGATACCAGCCTATTCTGAAGTGAATTAATTTTAGATCTGGCATACTCACTGGATGGCATCTAACATTTGTTTTGAAATACAGTTCTGTTCATTCTATTCAGAAAAGTGACTTTGTAAAAGTGGCATCTTTGTACTGCTGCCACCATATGTGAGTTCTTTCTTTTAGGTTTAGAAGGATATGGGGCAGTATATTTTTAACTCTTTTTTACTTCTGATAGCTTGGCTAAGAGATAATGAGGAGTTAGTGTGTCATTATCACCAGAGTAATTTATTTGTTACACTGGTGTATACGTATTGAAGTCAATGGGATTTCAGTGGGCAAAATTTGGTGTAAACACAGTTATGCTACTGTCAACCAGGACCAAATATGAATTTCCACTGAAACTTCCATTTGTGGTAGGACATGAAAGACTGTTCTGTATTCTGAATCCATGTAGATTATATACAAAAGGAAATTTGGACAAAACCATCTTTTTATATACAAGTCTCCAAGAACAGTTGGTATAAAGTCATTTGAAAGATCATGATGCCATTTTTAGAGTCATTTTTCAGTGTATCACACGGCCCTGTTTTAAAAGCATTTATGATTAGTAGTAGATCTTACAAAACGGAGCTTGTAAAATAGGAAATTCTAATAGACAATAACTTGCAGTTGTTCTATTCAATTGACTACATACTTATGTTCAGTATGACCTTTCTAATATTTATTTCCTTAAATTTTATTTCTTTCAGCAAGGCCCACAACTCCTCTTTCTGTAGGCACCCTTGTACCCCCGCCAAGGCCTGCTTCAAGACCAAAGCTATCTACTGGGAAACTTAGTGGGATTAATGAAATAGTATGTATTGTTTTTTTTAATTACCCATTGTAACTTGTTTTCAGATACACCATTCATTTAAACTGTTACAGTGGAGTTGCTTTCCAGCCAATATTCAAGGATTCATATAAGCAGATTTTCACCATTACCAGAGGCATGGAAATTGTTCATTATGTCTGTATTACCATAACAAAATAAGTCTTAACAGAATTACAAAGGTCAAAATATATTTTTTTGATCGGCTGAATATTTTTAATTTAACAAATCAATAAACTGATAATGAAAGGATAGCATGTGTACGAGTCCAAAGTTTTCAAAAACTGAAATACTAGCAAAGTTATTAACAAAGCCCCATTGATTTAGCGATATCACCAAAGCTCTGGGGAATGAATGGCATTAAGTAGATCTTATCAATCATATGTTGACACAAGTAGCCCTGCTGTGACTTCTCCCTGCCCTTGGTGCTAGGGAGTAGGGGGGGTATATTGCAGCACCTGCCCATCAGGATGGTGGGAGGCTGCACGCTGCCTGCAGTGCAGGTCCACCTGCTGATAAGGAATGTGGCAAAGAATCCAGATACCCATACAGCATGTCAGACCAAGCCTTGCTTAATCTCTTCTGTGAATATAAGATTTTTAGGGTTTCATTTGACTTACTGACTTGGAAAAATGTTACTGTGGTAAGCCTCTTACTATCTTTCAGAGTAGCAAGATATTTTCCCCATATTCCTGTTATGAACAAAATTCTGATCTTATGCTTTGACAAAACTGAAACATTTTTAAACTGGTTTGCATGTCTGTAATGTCAGAATAAGGTCAAAATAGGGTTCATTTTGAGATTCTTACCAGTATAAAATTGCAGCAATTGCTGTTAGACTAAGAAGTCTGTTCCTCGTGTCATGATAAATAAGGAGAATTTAACTAGTACTGTTCTGCTGTAAGGTATGATTCTGCACAAAGCTACATTCATTTTGTATGGTTGTTTAGCAAATACCCTACTGTCTGGACACAAGTGGAAGATTTCCAGTTGTCTTGATTATGTCTCAACTTCTTTTACAATTTCTGTAGTATCTATAAAAGTGACATGCCCAGCAAGTATGATAGAACTTAAATAAAAAAATAAATTAAAGGGGGGGAAAAAAAAAAAAAAAAAAAAAACCACAAAACCCACACTACCACCGAAATCCCAAACAACCAGTTATGCAACCAAAATAGATGCTTTATGGGTTCCAGTACCTTTTATTAGGATTTCTTAAGATTAAGCTTAATCCCAAAATGGTCATTAGTTAGTTTAATATCTGGACAGTTAAAGGAATGATAAAACCATACAGAGAGTTAGGATGGAAGGGACTTTTGAAAACCTCTAGGTTTTAAAGAAGGGATGACTTCAAAATTGCATGAGGTTGCTCAGGGACATGCTGAGTTTTGAAGGTCTGCAGAGAGGAAGATACTACAATTGCTTTGGGTAGGCTGTCCCAGGGTTAAACCATGAAGTTATAAGAAGGCATTTTTTTCCCTAAGTTCAACTTAAATTTCCTTTGCTTTAGCTCTTTAATCTCTGAGAAGAACATGACTCCAACTTTGTTGAACCACCTTTTAGCTAGTAAAGGACTGCTAGTAGATCCCTTCTTAGGCTTCTGTTCTCCAGGCTGAACAAACCCAGGCCCTTCAGCCTGTCCCTCTCACACATGTACTCGAGTCCCAGATATTTTAGTTGCCCTCTGCAGGACTCATTTCCAGTTTGTTAGTAGCTCTCCTTTAGCACTATAAATCCACATTTTCTGCACACATACACAAGACTGTAGGCTTAGGTTCTGCTACTATTATATACTATCACAACTGTGCTATACTGTTAAAGCACAGTTATTGACAGGCTGCTACATAATAAAATATTTTAGACCTAACTACACAGGTGAAAAATTAATAATGATAATCTATGAAATAATGGAATTTATTCCAATGGAAAATGAGGGTTCTCTGGTTCACAGTAAAATCTAGGCTATATAAAGCAGTAAAGGAATTATATTGAGAAATATTAAATTGATTGGAATGTGAAATTAAGAACTCTTCTATTTACAGACTTTCATCTCTTTAAAATCACTTTGTGTAATACTCTTGTAATCAATTTTGTTCAGCCTAGGCCATTCAGCCCTCCATTGACTTCTAATTCAAGTCCACCTCCTGCAGCTCCCTTGGCACGTGCAGAGAGCATTTCCTCAATATCCTCTTCTGCTTCCCTCAGTGCAGCAAACACACCTACAGTAGGTAAGTTGAATTAACCATTTTAACTTATTTTAGAAATAGATCAAGTCTACCACGAGGTTCCACCTGTTAGGCAAAACATCTATTGGAAGTAGTTGTTCCATATGTGAGTTGAGCCTAGGTACTTCAAGCATCCTTTGCAATACCTGCTTCTATATGACAGCCAGAGACAGGACAATGGGTTTAATTAGATTATACCATAGATCCAATTATGGCATGTTCCTTAGGCAAATATTTTTTCTTATTAGGTATGCTTGTATATCTGTCCATCAAGCACAACATATTATCATGTACTTGTTAAGAAATGTTACTGTATAGGAATATTTTGGAATAGTGATAAATTTGAATGAGTATAAATGCTCACAGGATTGACTTCTTTTATGTTCTTTTTGTTAGTTATCCTGGAATTTCAGTTTCAAAAAAAAAGGAAACTAATGCATCTTTTTCTTCAATTTAATGAAGTATATAAGTGAAACAGAGGTGTCTAGTAAAAGCAAAACAAACAAAAAAGATTAAGATGAAAAGCAAAGTCATCTTCATGTGTTGCTACTAATTTTAGAAAGTTTTCTCATTTTTAAAGGAAAGCTCTTCCATCTGGATATCTGGTTACAACAAATGAAAAGGGGATTTACATGGGTTTGTGAGGGGCAGGGCAAGCTAAAGACATTTTAACTTGTTTCTTTAGCAGAATTGAAGTACTTAGTTCTTGAATATTATTACTTCTCTAGTCCCAAGTTAAATCAGGTTCTTGAGTTAACACCCAGTTACCTGTGAATGTTACTGATGCCAAGGATTCCTCGCCCAGGCTCAGCAGCTCAGGAGAGCACCTGCGTAGCTTCTAGTGGGAGTCCTGCACTGAAAGCAGTGCAGCTGTTTCCACCTTCTGCAGGACCAAAGCCAATAAGGTCTGCCCAGCCTTAGCTGCTACAGTTCAGTGTCCACCAGTTTCCCAAATGCTGAGAAGCATCACAGAAAGGTAACTGATATTTTGATTGCCAAAGTCCCTCTAGGCTCCCATCCTCAGGCCTTAGCACTAGTGCCAAGGAACCAAAGTTGGTGGTTGCAGCATCAATCACCCCAGCTCTGACTGCATGTGGTGTTTGAGACAGTGGCAGAAGGAAATCAGGAGGTGAGGAGGAGTGTGCTGACATTGAGGTTTTGACATGGTTATTGACCTGGCCAAGCAAAACCAAACAAGGCCAGTTCCATCTGCACTGACTGTATGAATTAAATTGTTCTGGCAAGTTAGGAAGGTCAGCACAGATGACTGAGTGACTTGGGGGCATGAGGATATAATCTCCACGACTCTGTATTTTTGTGATTTTTGTGCAATCCAGCACTTCCCTTACCCCATTTCTTTTGAATAATGGAGAGCTGACTCTAATTATCTTTTTCCAAGAGAACTTTAAGGCATGCACAATTGAATGTTTGTTTTCTGCCTTAGCATTATTTTAATTTGCAAAGTAATTTTTTTTAATATCTATTTTTGCTTGAAATACTTTGTTTTCTTGCAATGTTTTGTTTCATTTAAATGTAATAGAGGATGATCTTTTGATTGGAAATCTTCCTACAGTTGAAAAGCTTTGTGAGACACCACCAGGTATAGTACTCAGAGCAGATTTACATGTCAACTAATCACCCTAATACACTACACCTAATAAAACTGTATTTTCTTTTGAAACAACTTTCTCCAGCTGTTTCTGGTATCTGGCAGACACAAGCAGCTTGAAAGCTCAACTACTTAACAAGTTACGTGTTGCTGAAATCACAAAAACCTGATATAGCTGCTTTTATATAACGTAGTCTTCTGTCTACTCCTGACCCCTAAACAAGCTGAAACTTGGTCTTGCTTCTTCAGTTTGTCATTACTACTTTCTTTCAAGTAAAGTGAATACATTTTTACTTTGACAGTCCTCTCATAAGAGAAGTACATTAAAAAGTTTCTGTATTTATATATAACGCAAATCTTTGAAGATACACAGAGTAAAAGTAATCTTTTTTTAAAAAATAAATTTTGTTTTCATGACAGCTGTTTGGCCAATACGAAAATTTTCTGAATCTTTGTTCTTAAACTCAACTAGACCCATTTGATCAGGTTTATTTATTTTTATGACCCTTTTTATGACCACTGAGGAATTTTTTTTATTCTACATTTTGGCAACCTTGCAACTGTCCGCATGGTTGTGTCACTCGGTCTTGGGTCAGCACGACTTGGGGGCTGTTAATGGTGGTTAGGGCTGAGGCAGGTGGCAAGGCATCAAAGCCAGCTTTGCTGTCACTGCCAGAGGTGCTAGGGCTGGAGCCTTGAGCCGGGCTGCAGCCTGACATGCAGCGAGGCCACCTTGGAAAAGCTCTGTGACATCTCATCCTTCTCCGAGCTGGCAGCATGTGTGGAAGGCCCTGAAGCTGGATATTGCTGCATTGTGTGTTCAGCATCGAGATAACAAAACAGTGACTTCCGGAATTAGGTTAAGCAGTTATGTTTGTTTGAATTTATTGTGGTTTAGAACGCATGCTTTTTTATGCTTCAAAGTGGAGCAAATAAGAGAGAAGCTACCCCACCTGCTGTCCCTCAAATACATCTCAGAAAAATGTATATAAGTATATATACTTGCTTTGGTGTCCCCCCCGAAAAGTTTTGAAAGTGTTATTATTCCTAATAAATTTAACTCTTCAGGGAAGAAAATCAGTACTTGTCTTTTACCAATAGGAATGTTATTTATATATTTGCATTACTCAGCATGATTTTCAAATATCAATATAAAAATATATATAAGGCCATTATAAGATTTAAAGATAATTTGTACATCTGTAAATAATCTGGTGTAATTAATATAAGGTTATCTGACCTCTTACCTACTCTGCTGTTGTTTGTTGTTCTTTAGTAAAGTGGAGGGAGAAGACAGTAGAACACCCTGGCAACCACAGTGCCACATCCATTGAGTGAATGTTTTGATTTTAGTGGAGAATCCTTCTAGTACTCAGTATTTCATCACAGAGAATTTCTGGTTGTTGTAAGGTTACTATTTTATTGCACATGGCTTCTTGAAATCATGATTTCTAGATTACTGATACTATCGAGAATCACAGCTTTCATTGGTATTTTTCAAGGAGAGAAAGAAAACTTGGCAGACATGACCCATCTATTGCTTGGAAGAATAAATAAAATCATCCTAATGTTCATAGTAAAAAAAAATAAATAAGTCAGTGTTTTATAGCCAACATCGTAATATTTTGTTCATCTAAGAACTCTTGGGTTGGAAGACTTGTAACTAGAGTATCACTTTCAATTTAAGGAGGCTGAAATCTTGCACTAACTGTTTTTTTCATGGTGCTGAGAAATATTCTAAATATTTTGCTACCTTAGGCAAGAAATCATGATGGAGAGTGAAGTAAGAGGTAGTAGAACTAGACCAACTCCTGTCTTTTACTCTCTTGTTGTTGCTACTTCTTTCACTTATCTCTGAATTTAAGGTCTAATATCTCATATGAGACCTGCTGTGAAGAACAAGATCTCAACTTTTTCTTTGGTTTCTGAAGGAGCTCAGAAGGCACAGCCATTGTTTTAGAGTAAAGAGGATTTGTTTACCATGAGCAATATTATAGAGAAGCATTTTGTTTCTACTTAATGGTATGAAACAAGAAATTCTCCTTTTGCTCATTAAATAAGAAAGATTGTGCCTCCTTTGTGGAAGATTATATTATGTGATAAAGGCCATGTTACCAGTGTTATTAAAAAATTAAATGCTCTCCTCTGTGCTACTGCAGTGATAAAAAGACAGAACTTCCAGTATTATCTTTTGCATTCAGTACACAAATAGAAGATTGGTGAAGACTAAAATCCTGTGATAACTGTTTTTGAGTATTGTACACACACATTTCAAAAAGCCTTAGGAAGACATCTGAGTTGATCTTTATAGCTGTGTATTGGAACTATGTTACATTGGCACAAACATCTGTGAAAGATTCTCCAACAATTTCTGTTTGGGAATTGTAATCTTTAGCTGAAATAGTTAAAAGAATGTTAAACAGTTCACCTATGTGGGGCAATATTAGTGTATTTGCATTTAAGTTCATGCATACTCTAAGTGAATTCTTTGAATTTCCGTGACTATTTTATTATACATTTTTTTCCGTACAATAAGCATACAGTAGGGATTTTTCTTTTAAGTATTCTACTCAATGTCTAATTTCCTTTGGACCTGTTGACTTCACTTTCATCAGCAGCCATTTCAATGCCGTGTTCCTCTGTGTCATATGTACTTCCTTGTGTCTGTCCATTTACATAACGTCATCCTGATAGTCCTGTTTTCTCAGGCTGCTAAGCAGTGTTTTGATGGTACGATTGTACTGTACTATGTTCATAGTTTCCTACATGCCTTTCAAGTATGCTCCTTCAGATTCCCCTGTGACCTTGATGATAGTAACCTCTTGCAAACATTACAGATGTGGTTCTGAAAATCTATGTATGAATCGTTCTGAAATATGTCACTAAGCTTTTTGAAAATTAAACCTATACACTGTATGTATTCTAGGTGTTTCACGTGGTCCCAGCCCTGTCAGCCTTGGAAACCAGGACACCTTGCCTGTTGCAGTAGCCCTTACTGAATCTGTTAACGCCTACTTTAAAGGAGCAGATCCCACAAAGTTAGTTAAATAGTGAATTATTTTGAACTTAATAAGTGACAATAAGAAAACACACTAGTTTTAATATTTTGGGGGAAAATGTATATACATTAGAAGGGGGACTCAAAGGGGTTGTGTTTTTTCCCCCTGGTGTAAGTGACAGTGGTGGCTTATTGCTGTCTATTGGCCTGCATCCCACTAGAGTTCATACATCCCTACTTTGCAACAATGTGTTAAGTGAGAACACTGAAAATGAGAAGTGTCTTTTTTTATAATCAGGTAGGTGCTACATGTAAATTTGGGCAACTAAAAGCACCTCATTCCCTCTGTCACATCCCTTTCTAAGCTACTTGGGCCTTGCGTATGCATAGCTGTGCCATGTTTTCAAAGCCTGAAAAATATCCATCAAGACTACTGTATGCTTAACCAGCTAAACTTTTTTCTTTACTTATTTCATCTTATTTGCAAGTTGCAAGTGACAGTACATCGTCACGTTACCCTCATTTGAAATTGATTTTATGGTTTTGATTCAAGTCCATCAGATTGTGAAATGCAGTACAGTGATTGCTTTAAAATTTATATTAAAACTAGGCAGCTGCAACGAAACTGATATTTTCATTCTCTTCTAGATGTATTGTGAAGATCACCGGTGATATGACAGTATCATTCCCAAGTGGGATTATTAAAGTCTTCACCAGCAACCCATCTCCACCTGTGCTCTGCTTCAGGGTAAAAAAACACAAGCAAACTAGAGCAGATTCTTCCGAATGCACAACTTGTATACAGGTTTTGTCTTGTTTTTTTTTACATAATAGTAAAGTCCATGATTTTTAAAGTGTGAGTTTTTTATATGTAAATCAGAATTCTGTACAGTTTTGTTGATCTGCTTGTATGTAATTTAATTTCCTGAATTAATCTTGTTCCGCTCAGTTCTCTCCACAGCCACCATTAAAATTTCAGTGGTTTAACTTGAAACTTGTCTTGAATATAACAGAAGCCATAAAAAATAGTTTGCAAATATAGCTATGATTTTATATGCATTTTGTAAATTGTTTCTTTATAGAGTAGAAGCAATGGTAAGATTAAATGATGAAACAGTAGCCCTAAATGGAAAACAAGTAGTAGGAGCAGCACCACCTAATCTCTCGAATGTATTTCTAAGCTGTATCATTTCTATAGTAGATGAGATCTGTTATATAACTATCTGCGTGGGAGAATTCTTATGAAAAAAGGCTGCTGATTGAGTAGGATAATTATTGAAATCACAGAACTTGGAGATCTTTTTAAAAAATAAATAAATAAACAGCTATAATTATTTAGCAGAGATCTGTTTCAGCTGAGCAGTTTCTAATTGTATTAGAATTGTGTTCTATTAAATGTAAAATCCAAATTAAGCATTAACTCCATCTTGTGATGTAGATCATCAGTGGAGGAAACTCACTGCTTCACAACTTGGAAGGAGAATTTTTACCAGATACCAGTAGTTTATTTGTCTTAATACTTAGGAAGGTGCAATTAAAGCATTAGAATAAATTCTTGCTTGAAATAGTGAAGAAAGGGGAAGATCTAATCTTAGCTTTTACACATCCAAAATAGTAAAACTCAGTGTTGCCTTTTGACTCTTACCTTCCTTTTTCTTTGCAGTGATCAGTCACAAAGTGACTCCAGTACTAAGGATTTTTGGATGAACATGCAAGCTATAACTGTCTACCTCAAGAAATTATCTGAGCAGAATCCATCTGCATCCTATTACAATGTGGATGTTTTAAAATATCAGGTAAATACTTTTTTCCTGTTAGAATTTTTTAAGGAACTGTGCAGGTTTGATAACTACACAGAAATAAAAAGAATTGCACTTTGCCTGCTAACATTCAGAGGAAGTGTCCTCCCTCATCTAGACCAGTTCTGGGTATGTCACTCTTGACAATGCACAGGCTCTGTCCAGGCTCAGAGCATT